AGCATGCATGAGCAAGCACCTGGCAACCAACAGAGCCCAGGGCTCTCACAGGCGTGCTATGTCCTCCTCAGGGACGCCTCATTCTGTCGCCTGATGCTGCATTGTGCCTGGCATATCCTTGCTGGTTGGTCATTCTGGTTGTTCCCCGGGCACCGTGAGCATTGGGACGCCAATCCTTCCCAACACTGTGCATTGTGTGTGTAGAGAATTGAGATTTTAGGAAGTTCTTTCACTACTTGGGCAGAATCTCCTTTTCATGTTAAATCCAGCCCTAACTTGTACAGCAAGAGAAATGAAAGGTAGCATCTTAGTCACAATTTTCAAAGAAGTTAAGTATGGCCTCTTGTCCTTCTGCTCTTTCTGGGTGCAGATTGACATAGCCACCATCCAGGTTACCTGCCTTCTGAATTTTGTGCTTAAAGTTTAATGCAGTTCTCTAAAGGAGTCACTAATTCTAACATAGCAGAGTGGCATGGAAATGTAGTATGGAAGTGGTTAAGATATGCTTGGACATCAAAGAGATGCAAATTTGAACCCTGTCTCCGCCATTTCTTAGGTTTGTGAGTGTGAGGCAGATTTTTAACCTTTGAGATGTCTTTGCTTCATGCTAGTATGAATGGATTTCAATTGGAGGTGGGACACCAAAACAAAATATTCTCTAATTCCGTTTTCTAAGAACTTTTAGAAGTACTCTTATGTTTAAAATAGGATTACAAAACCTATTCCACAGTTTATGCCCAAAAATGAAGTAGAAAAGAACAATTTGAAAAGCAGTTGAACTGTTGGTATTCTTACTTTATTTTTATTTTTAAATATTGTTATATAATTGAGAGGGATGCATGCCCATGTGGGTCTCTGGTTAGGATGGGAGAGAGCCAAGTATGGAGGAAGGTGGGTGAGATATGTATTTGTGGGGTTTTTTTTTTCCTCCTGCATTCTTAGGGAGAAGAGGAAGGGAGCCACTTCTTGCTGTCAGACTACATCAGCACCCAGGGACGGATGACAGTCATTTGATGACACCTTAGAGACCCCGATGTGGGGGAGAATGCTCCAAGGGTGTACTTGAGTGGACTTGATAGTTCTTCGAAGTTGTTCATTTCATTGCTCCATGGTTGAGAAAGTCTTTCCAAGGTCTATCGATTAGGGGAAAAAAATCCACCTTAGTGCATCCACAGCCCCAGAAACATACCACAAAGCTTGGCCAGGAGAGTGGTCCAACCCCTTCTGCTTTCCATCCTCTGACAAAGCACTCAACATCTTGGCTGTCATGTCCCCTGGGTGCATCGGAACAGACTGACTATCCATTGCACAGACATCAGCAATCAAGGAGGCCCAGTCCCAGTACATGCACTTCAAGGTTGAACAATGTAGTCTGTGACTTTTCCCGTGGCCAGGGTCTGAGTTGAGTAGTCCAGCTGGGAAGTCCCCCATGATACCTCATCTGAAATGATATCAGGTTTAACTTTGTGCACCAGCCAGTGCAGGTAAGGTTTGATCTGTCACCTGTACCAACCAATGCATATGCCAGGGGACACAGATACCTGATAGGTTCCACTCCAGCCCCCTGCCTCATGCAAACCGACAGGTACAACAGCCATGCCCAGCTCAGCCTGGCACAGACCCAGTCCTCAAGCATTCCAGTGGGTGCCGCAGCCCAGTCAGGTTAATCCCTAATACTTCCCACCAAACGCACCCCAGCACTGGTTTTTGTACATGCCAACATCTGCTGCAACTTAGCCTGGCCCATCCCACATCTGGCTCTCACACATACCCATAGGTGCTATGACTTAGCTCAGCTCATTCCATCCCCAGACCCAGCCCTCACATATGCTGACAGGTGCAACTACCTTGTCCAGTCTGACCCACTCCAAGCCTTGATTCATGTGGTCACCAGCAGTGGGTACAGCCGAGCAGAGAAGTGCCCACAGTCCCCTTGCCAGGCATGCTACCAGCCCCCTATCTTATCTTACACCTGCAAGGATACCGCAGTCAAGCTTTACATGACTCATTGCCAGTCCTGGCACTTGCTAGCTAGCTTTGAGGCCTAGCCCAGCTGACCTGCACCCATTCTGGCGTTCATGTACACCAGCAGGTGCAGCAGCTTAGCCAAGTCTGGCTTGCTCCCAGTCCCAGCTCTTACATTCACCTGTGGAAGCAGTGGTCTAGCAGGGAAGTCCTGGAGGTAGTCCTTAGAGGCCAGCTCCTAGCCGTGGGTCTTATACATGCCATCAGATTCCCTACCAGGTCTGCTCCCAACCCTAGGTCTTGCATATACTGGTAGATGTTTCAGCCCAATCTGGCATGGCCTGCCTGTAGTCTCAACACTCATTGGTAGATGTTGTAGTCTAGCCTATCTGGGTATGGCCATTCTCCTAACCTCATTCTCATGTGTGCCAACAAGTGCTTCAACCTGGCCCAGCCCAGCCTGGCCCCAGACTTAGCCAACACAAAGGCTGACAAGTATTGCAGCCCTCCTTAGCCTGGCCTACCCCCAGTCTGAGCACTTGTGCTCCCCCGTAGGAGCTGCAGCCTAATAGGGGAGTTCCCCTAATTCCCCTGCCAGGCCTGCTCCCATTCCTGGGTCCCACCTGTGCCAATGGGTGAAGTGACTCTGCTTGGCATGGCCCAACCCTGCCCTGCCCCCCCGCCCCCCCCCCCGCTTTTACATGCACCAGCAGGCTACAGATGATGCTGTTTAGTCCAGCCCAGGTTCCCCACATAGGAAGGTGCCTTGGCCTGACCAAGACATGCCCTCTGGTATACCCCCTCTAAACCACTCTGTCTCAGCTCCCTTGCCTACCTACAAGTACAGTGGCCCAGTCCATGGCAGGCCCCGGAAGTCATTCCTCCCCTGTCCTGTCAAACATACCCTCAGCCACTGCCACTGTGATATATCTCCAGACCCCCTTCCCCTAGGCAAACTGCAGCCCAACCTTGTACCCCAATCCCACCCCTGGCCTGGGGGCTGGGGTTGCCTTTTCTGGCCCAGAGGTCCCCCACCTTCCCCACATATCTTAAAATAAAAATAGAATAGGCAACTATGCTGGCATACTGATATAGTTCACACAAATTTGGCATCAACCAGGCCCAGAATGCCCACCAGCTCCTGGCTGCTTTTCTCCCAGCAGTGTAGCACTTGTCTAGCTATAAGGCAACCCAGGCAGGTGCCTACACCTGGGGGGAGCTCTTCGTATTCGCCACCTTGTCAGACAGCAAGTACCTGCCCCAGTCCCTACCCTTGCCTGGAAAGAATGCACTGCACCCCAATGAGAGTGAACCAAGAGGACACATGGGCTATAGAGACTAGAGCCAGCGCAGCAGGCATGCTAGGAGGCCGGCAGTGCACAGGTTCTGAGTGCAGCAGTGTGATTCTGAAAAGATACACAAGACGACCCCTCTCGCCATGCCCCTGCTCCCCACCTCCTGCCCTGCAGGCATGCACCTCTTCACCCCCACGATTTGCCCCTACACCTCTGCCCACCACCTTTTTTAAGCCACGGAGCCAGTGTCTGGTAAGCTTGACTGGAGACCGAGATGTGCTTGCTTGGGTGCCTATCAGCTGATGAGAGCTCCTGCTCTCCTTTTCAGGTGTGGTTGCAGCCGTAGTTTCATGACTGGAAACCTTCCTAAGACATGGAGGTGAGCAGGGAATAGGAGCCACCTGCCCTGACCACATTTTCTTACAGGAGATGCAGTTTAGCTTAGAAGCATCATGAATATGTAAAGCAAAATAATAATAAGGAGTCATGGCCACTAAGCAATAAATGTCAGTTCCTGTGTACTGTGACTTATAGCAAACAACTCTTTTCTATTTAAAAAACAAAAAGCCAGGTTTAGTCAGTTACTTGCAAAGACTTTAGAATTGAATTTCAATAATTTCTCACATACACAAATGAATGCAAATACAGAGTTCAAGGAAGAAATAAAAGCTGGGTGTTAAAAAATGGTTGGAGGGCCCATTGCGATGGCCTAGTGGCTAAATCCTCACCTTACACGTGCCAGGATCCCATATGGGTGCCAGCTCGTGTCTCTACTGCTCCACTTCCCATCCAGTTTGGGATCAGCTCAGCTCTGGCCATTGTAGGCATTTGGGGAGTGAACCAGCAGACAGAAGACCTTTCTCTCTGTCTCTCCTCCGTAAATCTGTCTTTCCAATAAAAAATAAAATATTTTTTTAAGTTTAAGAAGAAAAAGTTTGGGAAAACACTGTGTAGATTGCCTTGGATGTCTCAGGACTGTTGTGGGCTTGGTTCCTCTCCTCCCTACTGCGGGGGGCAGCACACACCTGCCAGTCCTGCTGGCCTGGAATCCGTGTTCATAGCACAGGCCGCAAAATGAGGACATAAAGGGAAGTCAGAGGGAAGTGACCTTCGCTAGGATTCTGCCAGAGCGGAAACCCACATTTTCTGAGATCGTTAGACTCATGGAAGATAGATTTAGAATCCTCTTTCTTTCCTGGTGAAGTTGTGTAGGTGTGCTGGAGTGTTGCAGGTCTCAGGTGAGTCAGACCTCAGTTTTGATGGCACTTGGCCTCAGAGGGAACAGAAGATCAATCTCACCCACGCGGGGGTCCCTCGAGGTGGGACATTCTCTGCAAGGAATCGGAAGACAGGCTCATAGATCTTTCTGCTTCAAATGCCACCGTGCCAGGCTGCCAGTCGGTGGCACGGAGGTCAGCGCCTTCCCGCCGTCCGACTCAGCAGCAGCGTGGAGCATGTTGGGCAGGGGTTGGGAGTCAACGTGAACACCCATCATTGTATTTTCACTTCAGCCCCTTGGTATTTTGGCATTTATGTCTGTAAAAGATTTTCTGGGTTTCCCACTCTGGATTTTTTTTTTTTTTTGCGGGGGGCACTTAATATGAAGATTTAACATTTAAAAGTCTAAGTACTTCCTATATGTTGAGACTCTCCAGGTAAGCTTTACATTTTATAAAATAATTGCAGTTATTCCTCTCACTCGTGTGTTAAATAAACACTTCTCTCACTCCCACATTTCAGTTCCAGCTACGTCCGAGGGCACATCTTCCTTTTCCACTTTCTCTGAGTCGTCTCCGGAGCTGACCACCGCCGAGAGGTCAGTTCACCTCCTGCCCCCGCTCCTGGCCGACCGTGCCTCCTGGACTCTGTCCCAGCACATGCCCACCTCTGCCACCTCCAGAGACGGCCACGCGCCCGCCGAGACTCCCGGGGAAAGCAGCAACCTCAGCGTGGTGGAAGTTCTCCCGCCCAGCCTTGCTTCTGCCAAAAAAGAGACGAGTCACATTTCTAGCCATAATTGGGTGGAGTTTTCCACCCAAAATGTAGACTGTTTCACTTCTCTGTCCTGTTCCAGCTTTCAGACAACGAGGAACTTGCCTGAGGAACCAGAAGCCAGTAATTCCGTTCAGGTTCTCCTGGGGGAAGTCAGGAATGCCATAGGTAGGCTACACGAGGATCTGAGCCTGGTGATCCAGGAGCTTAATGTCATCAGTAGCCACCTGCTGAGCATGAGCGAGCCCAGCCTGCCGCCCAGCACGGGCTCACAGGCTCCTCCGCCCTCGGAGGGCAGCTCCCAGCCTGACTAGCCCTCTAGGGCTCCCACTTCCCAGGGGGAAACAGAGAACCGCGCAGTGCTTCACCGGGTTCCTTAGCGTGTTTCCAATCAGTAAATGCATTGGAGTGATTTGTTTCTCAAAGAGAAGAGTGTCACCTTTGACCCTTTGAAGCTGAGGATGTCATCCTCTCTGCACTTGGAAGTGGATTACATTTTAGTGAGAGTTTGGCCAAGGCCTGCGCTGCAGGTCAGCACAAGGGAATCGTTCTAGAATGTTGGTTGAGGCAGGGGAGCTGCAGGTCTCAGAGCACATCTGTCTTAAACACCGCCGCCCTGTCCAGGCGCACTGTGCTTGGGGCAGGCACTCCACACTCTCCTGCAAGCTTTGGGTTCTGCAGATGCCGCAGGGCGGGAGCTGAGTTGAAATCAGTCGGGTTGCATTGGCGTCTTCACTGTTTGTGCATATTGCAAAGTAAATTCAAGTGCATCCTTTTATTTCAGGAAATAAATTTGCCATTTTCACCTTATGTGCAAGTTTTTAATTCATTCAGATGGCCTTTCAGATAGAAATGGCTCTTCTCCGTGAGGGAGGAAATTATCCCCTTTGGGATCTACGGAGCAGAGACTGCTAGCTGTGCTGTTCCCAGGATCCCAGTGGAAGCTGCATTTAGCTCGTATTTGGGAGACTCATATAATGAGCCCCATGTTCCCATCATTCTGTTTCAACAACTCCCAAGTTCAGGGTGAAATAACCAACCCCAGGTTATTGCTGAAGAAATAGGAAACATTTAAAAAGAATAACAATGCCTGGGTCCCACTTCCTGACAAAATCATGCAAAGTGGGTTTAGGAGAAAGAGGGGAATGGCCAGTGCCAAGATCATTAAGCAGCGATGTGTGTTGGGGGCAGGGTGGGGAGTGGGGGCTTGCCGGTGGTGGCGGTTGGGGGTGGGCAGTGGCTGGCTGCAGTGAAAAGCGTGAAGGGGAGGCTGATGTGCAGCGCGGAGCAGAGCACAGTGCAGGTCCTTGGATGCCGCTACAACGTTGTGACTCTGTGAAATAAAGTTACAGCGCGTGATATGACTTCATCTGAAATGACCACTCTGACTTGGGCGGGGAGATGTGCAGGGACACAGGTGGAGCAGGTAAGTTCATTAACAGGCTCCGGCAGGTAGGACTGGTGATGTCTCAGAGCAGGGAGACAGCGCGAGGGGAGAGGTGATTAGCTGAAGGGCTCACTGAGAAGAGCCACTCCAGGGTGAGTCCAAGAACCAGGCTGAAACAAGGAAGGCTGCTGCTGGCAGAGATTCCAGACTCATGTTGTGGGTTTGCTGAATGTCGTATTTATGAGATGGTCACGTGGAGATGCTAGTGAGGCCCTGGATGTGAAAGTGATTTCCAGGGAGCAGTCTAGTTTGGCTTGAGACTGGATGAAATTCCCCAAGGGGTGAGAGTGGCAGCGGAGAGAAACTGAGGGCCCAAATATGAAGAGATCTGGAGGATGTCGAAGACCCAATGAAGGAAACAGAAAAAAGCCACCACTGTGCTGGGAACAAAACAGCATCTAGTGTTTTGGAAGTTGGGAGTGGACAGTTGGAAATGGAATATCTGCATTTTTTCTCAGTTTACGCTCTCTCCTGCTGAACTTGTTTGTGTGTGTACACATTACATAAACAGGCATGTCCTTGCCAAACCGTTTGAGACTTCACCCCAGAATATCCCATGATTTCCAACCTGCCAACAGATTCTCTTTTAATTGGTTGTCAAATAATCCCAGCAAGTTTTTAATCAAGTTAACTGTGTTTTTTGTAGTACTTTTAAGATCTGTGTTACTTTTCATAGGTTAATATTTGTACAACTGTTTTTACTAGTCTTTACTATTAAGAACGTTAAGTGTGAAAATTAGAATAGAATTCTTACCAGTAAGAAGAACAAGTGGGGGTAGACATCGGGGCACCGCAGGTGAAGGCAGCATCCCATCTGACAATACCAGTTTTATGACCATTTCTGGTCCAACTTGCTGCTCATGTGCCTGATGAAAACAGCAGATGAAGGCTCAAAGGCTTGGGCGCCTGCCACCCATCTGAGAGCTCCACGTGGCCTTCTGGGCTTTGACTGGCCCAGTTCCAGCTGTTGCCGCTGTTTGAGAAGTGCCCCAGTAGATAGAAAACTGATCTTTCTCCTTCTCTTTCTGCCTTTAAAAAAAATAAATTTTGGGGCGAGGGGCCTAGCACTGTGGCACAACATGGTAAGTCACAATCTGAAGCACTGGCATCCCATATGGGCACCAGTTCAAGTCCCAGATGCTCCAGTTCCCTGCTTGTGGCCTGGGAAAGCAGTAGAAGATGGTTCAAAGCCATGGGGCCCTGCATCCACGTGGGAGACCTGGAGGAATCTCCTGACTGTTGAATTCAGCCTGACCAGCCCTTTAGACTTGAAGCCATTTGGGAAGTGAACCAGTGGATGGAAGGTGTCTCTCTTTCTTCCTCTCCCTCTACCTCTGCTTTTCCAGTTAGTAAATCTTGAAAACAATCAGTCTTTTACAAAGAAATAGCAAGTAAACTAGACAGAATTCTAGCAAGCTGATAAGGATAGTTTAATATATTCATTTAAGGCTATAAATTTTCTTTTACATGACCGCATCCCTCTGAGCTTTAGGAATTAAGATAGAAGTCACATACCATGAAATGTGCCCTTTTAGGTTGTGAAATTCAGTGGCTTTTAGTGTATTGACAAGGTTGAGCAGCCATTGTCGTGGTCTGATTCCAGAATATTCACAACAAAATGAAGCACCGTAGCTTCTAGCACCCACTCTCCATTTCCTCTTCTCCTAAACCCTAACAACCACTAACCTATATGTATCTCCATGCATTTACCTACTTTGGATATTTTGTATAAATGGAATCATATATATGTAACTTGTATGTCTAATTTCTTTTACTTAGTGTAATGACAGTCCCGTTGTCGCATATATCAGTGCTTCATTTAAAAAAAAAAAGAGAAAAAATTATTTACAGAAGATGGAGCAAGAAAGAGGCCATCCACTGGTTCACTCCCCAAATGGCTGCAACAGCCAGAACTGGGGTAGTCCAAAGCCAGAAGCCAGGAGCTTCTTCTGGGTTTCCCATGTGGGTGCAGGAGCTCGGGATTTGGGGCCATCCTGCTCTGCTTTCCTGGGTCGTAAACAGAGAAATGAATCTGAAATGGAGCAGCCAATACTCAAACCAGCACCCATATTGGATGCCTGCCAGCACTGCAGGTACAGGATTAGCCACTGCACTGGGCTCAGTACTTCATTAATATTTAAAAATATATATGTGTATATTTCATATGTGCATATGTACATATATACACATATATATGAAAGACACAGGTACAGGGCAAAAGAGATAAAGAGAAAGAGCTCTCCAAGCTGCCTGCTGTCTCCCTAAATGGCCACAGCAGCCAGGGTTGACCCAAGCTGAAGCTAGGAACCAGAAATTCCTTCCCCCACCTCTCAAGGGGGTGGCAGGGCCCCAGGACAAGCCAGCTTCCAGTGTCTTCCCAGGCATGTTAGGAGGAACTCAGATCACAAACAGAACAGCTGGGACTCAAACTTGCAGTTCAGTGTGAGTTTGACCGTGGGTGTGGGCGAGCGTCAGCTCTTGCTGTGTGCAGTGCGACTCTGAACCTGAGTTTGGGGGGACTGGCGGACTGCTTCCTGGAGTTGCCTTCCCGTTTCATCACAAGTATTGTTCCGTGCTCATCTTCCTCGACCTCTGACCCTTTCCTGGTCTCAGCATATCATACTCTGATAAACCAATTCCTGATTTTTTTTTTTTTGGCTGGTCTGTTTTGTTGTCTGTCATCTTGTTGGCTTCTGTGCGTAGCGTTTTCTCGTGTGCCTGATTACCTTTATTTTGCAGGAATAATACAGACACTTGTGTTTTTGCCTGGTCTACCACCATCATGGTCAAGTAAATCAAGATCTGCCACGAAGTTCTTCAAGTACCCAGGTCAATTCCAGACTCAGCTGCTCATGAGAGATTCCCGTCTCCTCACTCCCATTGTGTCTTACTGTATTCTAAGGAACATCTCTCAGAAGGCTTCCTCTCAAAGCCATCCAAATGGATGCAGGGATTTGAGAGACCCAACCAGTGCCCCTAGGGAAAAGTGACAAAACCAGACACAGTTGCTGTGCTGGCACAGCTTGAGTTCTGGAAGAATCTGATAATAAATTGCCCCATCCCCACCCCTACGTGATAGTGTGAGGATTCTGGGGAAGGAGCTGGCTGGAGTTCAGGCCCAGCCTGTCCAGGGAAGGCTCTTTGGAGCTGACACACAAGTCCCAGCGTTGCGGAAAGGAATGCCATGGGTACAACGTTGGCCAAAGCCACTTCATGAGGTACAGTAGAGCATCACACGTGCTGGCTCTCTTTATGCGCCTGGGAGACCCACCAGTACATCCTTAGGGCCAGAGGGGTGCCATCTTCCCGTGCTGGCCGAAGTGAACACCCTGTGCTGATTTTAAAATGTCTCGGGGTCCACTGCTGCTCATGGGGCTTCTCCCCCACAAGGCACTGGACAGCAAAACCCCCTCACTTATTCTGCACTTGGCACACGCACATGATAACCGCGCATCTCAACTAGGTTTCACATAGCTTGTGTATTTCAATTCAACCGTTTGTTAATTAGTATAATTAAGCACTTATTTGAATTTCTATTTAGCCAACTCCATTAAATGAACAGAACAAACTTGGTTAAAATTAAGAGTGGGTATATCCTGATTGACTTTGTACCTATCTCACATTAAAAATACTTCATGGAGTGCTATTAAGCATTTTGCTTTGAGTGTGAGGATCCTATTCTATAACAGTTATAAAATATTTTACTGTTCATCCATTATCAAATTACTCATGCACTCATTCTTTAAGTATTTATTAATAAGCACCCTGTACGAGTAGGCACTTTGCTAGACATTGGGCACTCAGTAGTGAAAAAGGCGGACGTGCCATCTTCAGGGTGACAGTTTGGTGGCGATACAGGCAGAGCTA